CCTCACCCCTTAGTCCTCCGTATCCAACTTTGGCTACGCCGCATCTTTACTAAGCATAAAGATATTGTTTTTTGTTGGGTCCCTGGTCATGTTGACGTACAGGGCAATGAACAGGCAGACACTGCTGCGCGGTCAGCAGTACATGACCTACCAGTTTCTTATAGAGGTATTCATGTCGGACTATTTTGCTGTAATATCTTCCCACCTTCACACCCGTTGGCAACAACGTTGGTCTACTATGCTCGGCAACAAACTTCAGTCTATTAACGAGTATTAGGTTACTGCCGTCTTCTTATCACCAGTGTCGAGGTTGGGAGACTACTCTCTCCATCTTCGCATTGGCCATACTCGTCTTACTCATGGATATCTCATGGAGAGGCGTCTTGTCCTCTCTGTGAGAATTGCCAAGCTCCATTATCAGTCAGCCACATTCTGTTGGACTGCCCACATTATCAACGAGCACGCAGAATTTACCTCTGTCGTCGTCTTCGCCCCGCTGCTCTCTCTTTACCTTCCCTTCTCGCTGATGGACCCACCTTTCATCTGGACTCTCTCATTGACTTTTTGACAACGACTGGACTTACTTCACAAATTCTGATACTTTCAGCCCTTTCTACTTGAATCTCTTGCTACCCTCTACCCCCGTACTATCCCCTGCCCCGCTGTTTTCTGTAACCTGCTGATCATCCCCCCTCCCTTCTGCCATCCAATTCCCTTGCTTCCTTCCCTACCCTGCAGCGCTGTATAGCCCTTGTGGCTTAGCGCTTCTTTTTGATTATAATAATAATCCAGATACAGTGGTGTGGTCTTTGATGGTGAGATCCTCTGACATTATCACTCCCAGATCCTTCACATTACTTTTTCGTTCTATTGTATGGTTAGAATTTAATAGTCTTAATTTCAAGTTCTTCATATGTGAGTAGTTGAAATTTCTCTTCGTGTTGTTTTGAGCGGCCAGTCTGAAGATTTGGTTGATGTCACCTTGAAGTCTGGCGGTGTCTTCGATGGAGGACACAGTCATGGTGATCCGGGTGCCATTCACAAAGGAAGACACAGAGCTATGGCTGACATCTCTGTCAGATATGAGGATGAATAATATAATGGGAACTTTCCACAGTAGCCGCCTCTGTTTACTATTGATCTTTTGTGTTCTATTTGTTAGGAAATTATAGATCCATCTACCAACTTTTCTCGTTATTCCTTTATCACGCTTTTGTGTGCTATTACACCTGGCACACTTGTCAAAACCCTTTTGCAAAGTCGTGTATACTACATCTTTTTTTTCTCTGAGCATCCAGCCCTGTCATAGTGGTCCGTAGCGGGGACAGCAGGAGCGACCTGTTAAAACCCTGTTGCCCTTTTTAAATGAGGGGTTTAGGGGGTTGCGATCTTGCTTCTTAGAACCCTCTAAAAAGTTTTTTAGGGAATGGGATTAGTGATCGGTTGAAGTTCTTTGTAATTGTTTGACTGCCCCCTTCGGGAGGGGGGTAGTCTGTTGTTGTTAGTGTGTGGGGGATGCCCCCTTTTTCCAGCTCCTCTTCAGATTGGAGTCGGGCCCTGGGGCAGGGCAGGGTATGTCATTTATTGCCTTTTCAATTTTTTGGGTATCGGTAATATCAAAAAATTTTAAAAGTGAAAAATTTTGGGTCTGGGTCAAAAAAAAAAAATATAAATTGTCGACCCTTTTCTTAACGGTCACTGAACACGAGTCGTATTGACACTTTAGTGTCTCACTAAAGTGTGAAGTGAGAGCTTTTGTCACCAGAAATAAACTCTCAAAAATATTCACACTGAGAGATTATACCCCTCAGTGTATATATTTATTGTTGTTAAAAATTAAATTTAAAAAAGTTAAATTCATTTTTTTTTTTTCGTTATTTTTTCTAATTCGTTAGCCTTTTTTATGGGGTTTTTACAGTATATATATATAGAGGAGGGGGTTTTTTAAGCTTTGTGACATATGGTTACTTTTTTCACGATAAAGGGGACTTTGGGCTCTAGGCTAGGGGCTGTTTTCCTCAACTCCCACTGATCTTCCATCAGTCCTCATGTATTGTACTGAAGAACCCCGGGGGCGAAAAAGTTTTTCCCCAATAAAGTACCCAATGTTGGACAATGGGGGTGGTCCATGGCTAAAAGCGACGGTCGGTTTTTGAGACTGATCGGGGTTCTTCCCACCCTGGTAGGGTTTTTTTCAATCGTGTCATTACGATTTGTTCTTTTAAAAAGTTCTCATCACTTAATGTAAGTCCTTTTAATCCGTTACAAATTTTCCTTGACAGTGCTTCACTTCACGACCAGAAAGGAAAATTTCCATGACAATTCCTCAAAATTGTGCTGGGAAAGGGGCACTCAGACAATTCCCCAAATTCTGCTGGGGGAAGGAATCATCAACAATTCCCCAACATTAGTCTGGTGGGGTCCTGAGACAATTCCTCAAATTCACTGGTGAAAGGGGCATTGAGCAACGAGGATACCCGTTAATAAATGCTCAAACACGCCAAGGTACTGAAGGTCCTCCTGATTGAAAGACTCGGGGGTTCCCAGCCACCCGCTGTATCCCCAAAAACGAAAATTTGCCTTGTTCCAAAGAGGGGGCTTTGGCATTCCAATGATTTCTCCCTTTTTTTACGTGTAAGTGCCCCACATATTTTTTAAACTTGCATTAGTAACTTGCGTTTTAATTATTTAAGATTTCTTTAAAAAATTTGGGACGAATTTAAAATTCTTTTTTTGAGCTCGTTGTTTTAATTTTTTTCTTTTCAAACACAACTGCCTTAATAAAACTAATAACAACTAATAACAACCTGCTCATGCAAAAACTTCCAGTCATAGTTATAAATTATCATTAGTTACTTGTCACTTTAAGGCTGCTAGAATGTTCCAAATAACTAGAGTTAATCTATAACGTAAGTCAATAACATCACTTTCTTCAAACTAGTTATAAGCTTGACCTTGTAAACTTAAACTGAATCATACAAAGTTCTTAAAGTTGTGTGCACAGTTTGACGTAGCGTTAATAAGGTGATGAGAAGTTAGTTCTTATTGTCTCTTATAGTTTCCACTGAAATTATTCCCATAACTCATAGAAGTTGTTGACTGTTTATAATGAGTACATGCAACACGTGAGTACATGCAACACGTGAGTACATGCAACACGTGAGTACATGCAACACGTGAGTATATGCAACACGTGAGTACATGCAACACGTGAGTACATGCAACACGTGAGTACATGCAACACGTGAGTACATGCAACACGTGAGTACATGCAACACGTGAGTACATGCAACACGTAAGTACATGCAACACATGAGTACATTAAACGCGTGAGTACATGGATACACACGCGTCTGAATGAGACATTTACTGAAGCAACGTTTCGCCCACCAGGGAGTCTTGCTCAATACATTACAATAACAGTATATCGCGAACGAGGGATAACAGATACAAACAACGATAGCAACAGCACTTTCACGTTCCACTCAACACATCAAGAGCTTGGAATGTTGAAGAAACAAGTAGAAACCTGCCTAGACTTCTCATTTCTGTGACACTGCCAGCTCCTGATGAAGTGTTGGTAGCAATACGAAAGGCCTTGAGGAGGGAGGAGTTGTAGTAGTGTGTATACACATTGTGTATGTGAGTGAATTCTTATACATGTGTATATGTATGTATACATATGTATGTATACATATGTGTAGTTGAAAATCCATCACCAGGTAAATTATTGACAAATATTTCATCTCCCATGTTGCCACTATCACCTCCCATGTTGCCATTATCACCTCCCATGTTGCCACTATCACCTCCCATGTTGCCATTATCACCTGTCATGTTGCCACTATCACCTCCCATGCTGCCACTATCACCTGCCATGTTGCCACTATCACCTCCCATGTTGCCACTATCACCACCCATGCTGCCACTATCACCTCCCATGTTGCCACTATCACCTCCCATGTTGCCACTATCACCACCCATGTTGCCACTATCACCTCCCATGTTGCCACTATCACCTCCCATGTTGCCACTATCACCACCCATGTTGCCACTATCACCACCCATGTTGCCACTATCACCTCCCATGTTGCCACTATCACCTCCCATGTTGCCACTATCACCTCCCATGTTGCCACTATCACCTCCCATGTTGCCACTATCACCACCCATGTTGCCACTATCACCTCCCATGTTGCCACTATCACCACCCATGTTGCCACTATCACCTCCCATGTTGCCACTATCACCTCCCATGTTTACCTGGAGACCTGGAGAGAGTTTCGGGGGTCAACGCCCCCGCGGCCCGGTCTGTGACCAGGCCTCCTGGTGGATCAGCGCCTGATCAACCAGGCTGTTGCTGCTGGCTGCACGCAAACCAACGTACGAGCCACAGCCCGGCTGATCAGGAACTGACTTTAGGTGCTTGTCCAGTGCCAGCTTGAAGACTGCCAGGGGTCTGTTGGTAATCCCCCTTATGTGTGCTGGGAGGCAGTTGAACAGTCTCGGGCCCCTGACACTTATTGTATGGTCTCTTAACGTGCTAGTGACACCCTGCTTTCATTGGGGGGATGGTGCATCGTCTGCCAAGTCTTTTGCTTTCGTAGTGAGTGATTTTCGTGTGCAAGTTCGGTACTAGTCCCTCTAGGATTTTCCAGGTGTATATAATCATGTATCTCTCCCTCCTGCGTTCCAGGGAATACAGGTTTAGGAACCTCAAGCGCTCCCAGTAATTGAGGTGTTTTATCTCCGTTATGCGCGCCGTGAAGGTTCTCTGTACATTTTCTAGATCAGCAATTTCACCTGCCTTGAAAGGTGCTGTTAGAGTTGTCACTATCACCTCCCATGTTGCCACTATCACCTCCCATGTTGCCACTATCACCTCCCATGTTGCCACTATCACCTCCCATGCTGCCACTATGAACACGTCAATCCTAGCATCAGCATTTTCTAATGTACTTGTTGCAACATTAATTTACAAGTAAATTATCGTTTACAGATGTCTGGATAAATCTCACCAGGAAATTTACAGCCAATACTTGTATAAGTGTGATCCAGGTTACACTTACATCGAGACTGAGAAAGATTGTATCTTCGAAGGTGGATGTTATTCCCACTTATTTGGGCCTGTGAACGACCCAGGGATGCCAGCACCTCCCTCTGAGACTCCAAAGGTAACGATAACATGTGTTGGGATATTTAACCTGGGCAGGGAGTGTTAATCACCCAGGATAATCCTGGGTAGGTAGGGAGATTAGCCCCCCCAGGATAACTCTGGGTGGGTAGGGAGTGTTAGCCTCCCAGGATAACTCTGGGTGGGTAGGGAGTGTTAGCCACCCAGGATAACTCTGGGTGGGTAGGCAGTGTTAGCCCCCCAGGATAGCTCTGGGTGGGTAGGGAGTGTTAGCCTCCCAGGATAACCCTGGGTGGGTAGGGAGTGTTAGCCACCCAGTTTAACCCTGGGTGGGTAAGGAGTGTTAGCCACCCAGTTTAACCCTGGTGGGTAGGGAGTGTCAGCCCCCGAGGATAGCTCTGGGTGGGTAGGGAGTGTTAGCCCCCCAGGATAGATCTGGGTGGGTAGGGAGTGTTAGCCTCCCAGGATAACCCTGGGTGGGTAGGGAGTGTTAGCCCCCCAGGATAACCCTGGGTGGGTAGGGAGTGTTAGCCCCCCAGGATAACCCTGGGTGGGTAGGGAATGTTAGCCCCCCAGGATAACCCTGGGTGGGTAGGGAGTGTTAGCCCCCCAGGATAACCCTGGGTGGGGAGGGAGCTGTTACCAACCTAGGATAACCCTGGGTGGGGAGAGAGCAGTGTTACCAACCTAGGATAACCCTGGGTGGGGAGGGAGCAGTGTTACCAACCTAAGATAACCCTGGGTCGGGAGAGAGCAGTGTTACCAACCTAGGATACCCCTGGGTAAGGAGAGAGCAGTGTTACCAAACTAGGATAACCCTGGGTGGGGAGGGAGCAGTGTTACCAACCTAATATAACCCTAGGTGGGGAGAGAGCAGTGTTACCAACCTAGGATACCCCTGGGTGGGGAGGGAGCAGTGTTACCAACCTAAGATAACCCTGGGTGGGGAGAGAGCAGTGTTACCAACCTAGGATACCCCTGGGTAGGGAGGGAGCAGTGTTACCAACCTAGGATAACCCTGGGTGGGGAGGGAGCAGTGTTACCAACCTTGGATAACCCTGGGTGGGGAGGGAGCAGTGTTACCAACCTAAGATAACCCTGGGTGGGGAGGGAGCTGTATTAGCCACCCAGGATAACCCTGGGTGGGGAGGGAGCTGTTACCAACCTAGGATAACCCTGGGTGGGGAGAGAGCAGTGTTACCAACCTAGGATAACCCTGGGTGGGGAGGGAGCAGTGTTACCAACCTTGGATAACCCTGGGTGGGGAGGGAGCAGTGTTACCAACCTAGATAACCCTGGGTGGGGAGGGAGCTGTATTAGCCACCCAGGATAACCCTGGTTGGGTATGGAGCGGTGTTAGCCACCCAGGATAACCCTGGGTGAGTAAAGAGCGGTGTTAGCCACCCAGGATAACCCTGGTTGGGTAGGGAGCGGTGTTATCCACCCAAGATAACCCTGGGTGGGGAGGGAGCTTCGTTATCCACCCAAGATAACACTGGGTGGAGAGGCAGCGGTGTTAGCCACCCAGGATAACCCTTCGTGGGGGAGGGAGCGATGTCACCCATCCAGGATAACCCTGGGGGAGAGAGAGCAGTGTTAGCCGCCCAGGATAAGTCTGGGGGGGGGGAATGAGCGGTGTTTGCCACCAAGGATAACCCAGTGAAACGAGGGAGCGGTGTCAGCCACCCAGGATATACCTGGGTAGGGAGAGAGCTGTGTTAGCTACCCAGGATAACCTGGGTGGGGAGGGAGTGGTGTTAGTCACCCAGGATCACCCTTGGTAGGTAGGAAGCGGTGTTAGCCATCCATGATAATCCTGGGTAGGTGGGGAGCAGTGTTAGCCAACCAGGATAACCTTAGGTGAGGAGGGAGCGGTGTTAGCCACCTACCTGGAGTTTACCTGGAGAGAGTTTCGGGGGTCAACGCCCCCGCGGCCCGGTCTGTGACCAGGCCTCCTGGTGGATCAGCGCCTGATCAACCAGGCTGTTGCTGCTGGCTGCACGCAAACCAACGTACGAGCCACAGCCCGGCTGATCAGGAACTGCCTTTAGGTGCTTGTCCAGTGCCAGCTTGAAGACTGCCAGGGGTCTGTTGGTAATCCCCCTTATGTGTGCTGGGAGGCAGTTGAACAGTCTCGGTCCCCTGACACTTATTGTATGGTCTCTTAACGTGCTAGTGACACCCCTGCTTTTCATTGGGGGATGGTGCATCGTCTGCCAAGTCTTTTTGCTTTCGTAGTGAGTGATTTTCGTGTGCAAGTTCGGTACTAGTCCCTCTAGGATTTTCCAGGTGTAATAATCATGTATCTCCCCTCCTGCGTTCCAGGGAATACAGGTTTAGAAACCACAAGCGCTCCCAGTAATTGAGGTGTTTTATCTCCGTTATGCGCGCCGTGAAAGTTCTCTGTACATTTTCTAGGTCGGCAATTTCACCTGCCTTGAAAGGTGCTGTTAGAGTGCAGCAATATTCCAGCCTAGATAGAACAAGTGACCTGAAGAGTGTCATCATGGGCTTGGCCTCCCTAGTTTGAAGGTTCTCATTATCCATCCTGTCATTTTTTCTAGCAGATGCGATTGATACAATGTTATGGTCCTTAAAGGTGAGATCCTCCGACATAATCACTCCCAGGTCTTTGACGTTGGTGTTTCGCTCTATTTTGTGGCCAGAATTTGTTTTGTACTCTGATGAAGATTTAATTTCCTCATGTTTACCATATCTGAGTAATTGAAATTTCTCATCGTTGAACTTCATATTTTTTCTGCAGCCCACTGAAAGATTTGGTTGATGTCCGCCTGGAGCCTTGCAGTGTCTGCAATGGAAGACACTGTCATGCAGATTCGGGTGTCATCTGCAAAGGAAGTCACGGTGCTGTGGCTGACATCCTTGTCTATGTCGGATATGAGGATGAGGAACAAGATGGGAGCTAGTACTGTGCCTTGTGGAACAGAGCTTTTCACCGTAGCTGCCTCGGACTTTACTCTGTTGACGACTACTCTCTGTGTTCTGTTAGTGAGGAAATTATAGATCCATCGACCAACTTTTCCTGTTATTCCTTTAGCGCGCATTTTTGTGCGCTATTACGCCATGGTCACACTTGTCGAAGGCTTTTGCAAAGTCTGTATATATTACATCTGCATTCTTTTTGTCTTCTAGTGCATTTAGGACCTTGTCGTAGTGATCCAGTAGTTGAGACAGACAGGAGCGACCTGTTCTAAACCCATGTTGCCCTGGGTTGTGTAACTGATGGGTTTCTAGATGGGTGGTGATCTTGCTTCTTAGGACCCTTTCAAAGATTTTTATGATATGGGATGTTAGTGCTATTGGTCTGTAGTTCTTTGCTGTTGCTTTACTGCCCCCTTTGTGGAGTGGGCTATGTCTGTTGTTTTTAGTAACTGAGGGACGACCCCCGTGTCCATGCTCCCTCTCCATAGGATGGAAAAGGCTCGTGATAGGGGCTTCTTGCAGTTCTTGATGAAAAACAGAGTTCCATGAGTCTGGCCCTGGGGCAGAGTGCATGGGCATGTCATTTATCGCCTGTTCGAAGTCATTTGGCGTCAGGATAACATCGGATAGGCTTGTGTTAATCAAATTTTGTGGCTCTCTCATAAAAAATTCATTTGATCTTCGACTCTCAGTCTGGTTAGCGGCTTGCTAAAAACTGAGTCATATTGGGACTTGAGTAGCTCACTCATTTCCTTCTGTTCATCTGTGTAGGACCATCTTGTTTAAGTAGGGGCCCAATACTGGACGTTGTTCTCGATTTTGATTTGGCATAGGAGAAGAAATACTTTGGGTTTCTTACGATTTCATTATGGCTTTTAGTTCTTCCCGCGATTCCTGACTCCTAAAGGATTCTTTTAGCTTAAGTTCGATGCTTGCATTTCTCTGACCAGTGTCTCCCTGCGCATTTCTGATATATTGACCTCTTTTAGCCGCTCTGTTATTCTTTTCCTCGCCTGTAAAGGGACGCCTGTCTCTTTTATTTTACATCTACTCCTCCTTTTTCTTAGAGGAATAAGCCTTGTGCATACATCGAGTGCCCGAGCTATTATCTGTTCTAGGCATAAGTTTGGGTCTGTGTTGCTTAGTATATCTTCCCAGCTTATATCGGTTAGGACTTGGTTTACTTGGTCCCACTTTATGTTTTTGTTATTGAAGTTGTATTTGGTGAATGCTCCCTCGTGACTAGTCTCATTTTGTCGGTCTGAGGCTCCACGCATACATGTCTGAACTCAATTATGTTGTGATCTGAGTATATTGTTTTTGATATGGTGACATTTCTTATCAGATCATCATTGTTAGTGAAGATGAGGTCTAGTGTATTCTCCAGTCTAGTAGGCTCTATTATTTGCTGGTTTAAATTGAATTTTGTGCAGAGATTTAAAAGCTCGTGTGAGTGTGAGTTTTCATCAGAGCTGCCTCCTGGTGTTATTACTGCAACAATATTATTTGCTATATTCCTCCATTTTAGGTGCCTTAAGTTGAAATCCCCCAGGAGCAAGATGTTGGGTGCAGGAGCTGGAAGATTTTCCAGACAGTGGTCAATTTTTAACAGCTGTTCCTGGAATTGCTGGGATGTTGCATCCGGAGGCTTGTAGACTACCACAATGACTAGGTTTTGGTTCTCGACCTTTACTGCTAAAACTTCCACTACGTCATTTGAGGCATTAAGCAGTTCTGTGCAAACAAGTGACTCTGCAATGTACAGGCCAACCCCCCCCTTTTGCCTGTTCACTCTGTCACATCTGTATAGGTTGTAACCTGGGATCCATATTTCGTTGTCCAAGTGATCCTTTATGTGGGTCTCAGTGAAAGCCGCGAACATTGCCTTTGCCTCTGCAAGCAGTCCACGGATGAAAGGTATTTTGTTGTTTATTGTTGGCTTAGACCCTGTATATTTGCAAAGAAGAATGTTATCGGACTGGTGGTATTGTTGGTACTGGGGGGGGATTTTTTTTCCGGCATTAGTATCTGTATTGTTGGGTTTTGGGGTGGAGGCCATCGACTGTGGTTTTCCCCTCCCGGAATGACTGGATTTGG